CCCCAAAACCCCAAAACCCCAAAACCCCAAAACCCCAAAATAAAAATAATTATTGAAAGATGAATACTCTCCTACTGCCAAGCTTCAGTACACATATCTTCTCTTACTACGGCTATCTACACGAATGCTTTGTTATAATGAATTCCCTCTGCAAACTCTCTCGTAAGAGCTTGCATGACTTCTCAAATGGATTTATCAAAACAGTCAAGTCCCTCCCCTCAGAAATTATCGGTTTCAGTGACAAAATTACCATAAACAGGCCCTAGCCCCCTTCCACCCCTTTCTGTTACCTTTGTTAAGTTCTGTAAGCCGTTTGTCCAATTCATGCTTCTAAAAGTCACTCTCAAAAATCCGTTCCAGATCCAATGGTTCATTACATTCTGCAAAGAACTGTTTGCCCAAGAAGGAATTTTACAAACTGAAGAAGAGCAGAAAGGCACTGATGAGGGATTCTGAGAGAAAGAATATACCCAAAGCAAATATTTAAGGCTGGCAAAGCTTAACCTGAAGGGAAAGAATAAAGGAGAACTGGTGCAGCTGCTGCAAAAGTATAAGAAAGAGATCTTTGAGTATCCTTATGATGTGGTGTTTCCGCAGAGTTGTTACTCTCCAGAACTTAATCTGAATTCGTCCATTAGGATGAGTTTTTATCAAGATATGCTTAAAGTTCCAAATTTTTTAAAAGAAGAAAAATGAATCAAAATATTTGATTTCTCAATTTTTTCTGTATCTAACTTTATTGCTGCGATTGATGAGTGTAAATTAACTGCTAGGGAAGTTATTCTTAAAATAAAATACCCAGCAGACAGTTGTGCTCTCGAAACCTTCCTGATCTCAAATTACTGGATGTTTAGAGAAACCAAGAAGTTTTCTCTCCTGTTTGAGGACACAGTAAAAGTAGGAAGCAGCACTCGATGCTTGTAGGGACCTGTTCTGTTAATGGATGAAGTATTTCCTGCACTTGAAGAACTGACATACCTGGTGTTCCAGAATGATAGAATGCAAAATATTTTTGATTTCTTTATTGCTCATCCGATTAATGAGATTGAAGATATCAGACCTAAATTTAGAGCGATCAATATTTGCATGAAGAAGTACAGGCGAGAAGTAGATGAATCTAAGTTTAAATTGACTAAAGCTGAAGTTCTGGAAGATCCAAGCGGGCCTTTTGAATGTACAGGTATCAGTATCAAATAATCCAGAACTTTGTAGTTTTATCAAGATATTATTCACTCAAGAGTGAAATATCTTTACCACTAGCTCATAATGCTTATAGAAATACTTGTCATACTCAAAATTGATACATTTTTGCTTCAATACAGGATAAAAAGCAACACCAAGATAGAAGTGGACAGCAAGGCAATTCTTTACCGTAAGTATCACACCCTCTCACTCTACATAGAAGACGATTTCACCATCATGACTATCCTTCCTTCCTACATAAAAGTCACAGATTTAACCAGTATCAAGAACGAAGAGACATCAATTTCTGAAGAATTTGATAAATTTCCTTCCAGTCTATTCATCCAAATCCCAAAAGAGAGCCTCATGAATGCCAAAACCAGCCTAGACCCCCTCTAAAGGCCTCTTAGAGGGTTTCAGCCTTCTTTTGGAGATTTGGAGTTTTAGTTGATTTTTTCAATCTGAAATTTAGAATTTGGGGTTTTGGGGTTTTGGGGTTTTGGGG